AGCAAGAGCGTTCCAAGGTTTGATAACTCACAGGATATAGGATTTGGGTCTGACGTCTAGCTAGTCATGTGTTAGGTTTCGTTGCTGTATGCGTACTCTAAAGTCGGTGCTACAAACAAGATTCAGTCAGTGAGGGAGTGGGTGTTCACAAGTGTTCAAGATGCTGTGAGCCATTGTAGGTCCTCTCTCAGTCTTCCACATTCCAGAGGATGTAGATCAAGTGCAACCAGTCCTTCCTGTATTTCAGACGTAAGTCCTTGAACAGATTTCGTCAGCCGTCTATGAATGGGTCCTGAACCTATTCCGTCGTCAAACAATGAGGAGGTGAAGACGACGATCCAAAACTTCAGGTGCGGCCATTTGGGAATATTTGAAATTTGGTGAAAACTTCTACGGGTGAATTGTCTTGAGGTTCGTCTGATGGTTACTAATCCCGGGTTGCCACATAGCGCATTTTGGTCACAAGTGGCATGGGATTTCAAGGCTTTAGAAACTAAAACATCCAAATCCTTCTCAGTCTGCAACGCCTCAGATTCAACACTGTTTAGGCCATGTATATGAAGTGCGTTATGTTTTAAGTGTGCTGCCTCACATGTATCAGGATCAAATCCAGTCCCCTTATTGGCTTACCAGTTTCGAAGTTGGATTAAATTTTCTTACTGGAGAAAACTGTCTTCCTCACTTGCAAAGTCCCCACATGGTTTCAGGTTGTCAGAAAAAAGACGGATTTCAGAGGAAACCTGTTGTGGCAATTGGTTAATCTGTATTGGAAAAAGACTCCAGTACTGCACTTCGGAGGACACCACTAGGACGCTCTGTTTCTTTAACCACGGGAAAACTCATTCAAATCCTAAATGAGCAGATTTGTGGAGATGAGGATCAGTCAGTGGGCGCTTGTCCGATCCTGATTAGTTTTAATTTATCGGTGAGGCAGTGGTGATTAACACGATCGCATGCCCCAACAATGTTCAGATAAATAACACCTACTCAACTTCGGCGTTCGACAATACTAGTCCATATATCTACTGTGGTGGGCATTTTAGCAAGGCAGGAGTACCCTTTCCTAAATCCGCGTTGTCAGGGGGTGAAGAACTTTATCTTCGTAAAGTAATCCCTGATTCCACCGTAAATTAACAAATCCGCCACTTTGGGATGCACGGGAGGAGAGCGTTCCTGGCCTGTACTTTTCTGGCTGCTTTGTTGACCTCCTTTGGAGATCGGCGCTATATGGTGCAACCTTCAAGGACTGGGTACGTGCCTTTGACCTGGAAGTACCTTGAGCAACATGCTTAAAAGTTCGGCGCAGACTGATGCTCCTTCCCGCAGCACCGCAACTTGAATTTTACCTGGTCCCAAAAGGAGGGCATCTTTGCTGAGCAGTAACGGTGTGAGCCGTGCCAGTTCACGGCCGAAGTCAACGACCGACAGCCCCACTTCGTTAGTAGGACATCCGTGAGCTCCTGAGTAGATGATGGACGACGAAAATATTTCCGAATCCCGATTACCTAACGGTTTATGTTCAGCTACTTCACTGTCGATACTCGTCATTCCCTTGGGTTCTGGTAGTTGAAAGACTCTTGCTTCAGCCTGCCGGAACGATGAGTTATTACGGGACACTTTCCAAGTTAGAAATAAACGTGTTTTGAGCCTAACTTGATACCGCTGCCAATTGGCCCTCAGTGCCTTCGCATACGCGTTTCGCGTCTGTTTGAATGGTCTGTGTGTGCGTTTGCCAGCATACCTTTAGTTTTCTTCCCTGCGGTTTCTTTTGTGTGCTAGTGTAGTGTCTCATTACTTTAGGTGGCTTGAATCACTCCGGCGTGGAAAGTGGAACAGACTGGCTTACGGCACGCTTGAGTTTATCAGTCGTGAAGCTCCAATCGGTGTTCACATCCTACTTTACACGATCAACCGCTGATCTGTCCTTTCCGAGGCCATCTGAGGAGCTACAGTGTTCTGTCATCTGAAGTTTGAATAGCACTCACTGAAGGGTCTGGATAGTTCGATCACTGAAAGCGGTTGACAACGTGGTCACTGCTGTCCAAAGGAAGAAGGATTGGTAGGTCACCAACCAAGAGTGTGTAGGAAACTGGGTTCGTCGCTACTACGTAGCACTTGACCATCCTTACTAAACCGAATGTGCTCTAGTGCACGTTTAATCAGCAGCTCCCCTAACTTGTAGTCAGTGAGGATAAAACACAAATCAAAACGACAGAGCTATTTGGGGATATGTTCGGAAGACCAATATATTTGTATCGGATAAGGGCGGAGATGTATTTTATTTATCTGTCTAGTACGGCTGAGCTGGGGACCCTGGAAATGTGCTTGTTGACGAGCTCAAAGGGATTTAAAAACGACTTCGAAGTCCGCCCGGATGCGTACTCGTTAAAGCAAAACTTAAAACGCCCTGAGCATTAAGGTGCGAACTAGGAGTTTACTTAGATAATTTAATCTACTTATTTTCTCCGTAGTTGCATTTTGGCGCCAGAAGGATGCGCTGGAATTCCTCATTTGTGAGGACGCAATCTAAGCAGGATATGATATGAGTTTCCCTGACCTCACATTTTCTGCAAGACCCCACTCAGATTGAAGGATAGGGCTTCAGCAGAACTGTCACTTCACTAAATATACGATCCGCAGAGCTAACGTCCTGTAGGTTAAAATCTAGAGCTAGGGTGTGTATCCCCCTGATTAGGCCCACTAGTGATTGACTGTAGCATTTGATCATTGTACTTTACGTCAGGAGATGACTTCCTGTAAGTGACTCCCCACAGGCACTTTGCGGTCTGGAACAGCCTTGTTCTGTTGGTAGTCCACTTCTTGAATATGGATCCGGCGAGATGTGAGAGAAGAGCTAACTAAAAGTATTGCCCATTTCCTTAGCAGTCTTCCTGTCGTTGCGAAACAGCGTGGTGTTAGCGACTGCCAGCCGTCAATCTGAAATTTGGGGAGAAGCCCATGTCTCAGTAACACCAGTAAGACCAGCATAAAAGTCCTCACTTAGTTCCCGTAGATCATCGATTTTATTCTGTAAACTTTACGCATTTCTTCAGATACAGTTTATGCCATCTGTTTGGCAGATAGTTTCTGTTCGCCCACGATGCCTATAGTGTTCCCGTAGCTATTTGACAGGCCAGAAGGACCCTTCGATCAACAATGGTCTAGGGCCGTCATTCCTTTTGGGCATCCATGAGGTGCTCTGTGTTATTATTCCCTTAAAATTCATAGTACTTTTGAGGAAATTCCGACGGGGGGAACCCTAGTGGATGTCCATGGTGCCCCGATTTTCCAGGTATGCTGTGCATTATCAGGTTTCTTTCCCCTACAGTATGCCTTGCGAATGTCACCCAAAGGTTTCTTTATGGCCATTCTGTAGCAGTACGGGATATCTGGAAGTATCCTTACTTCTCCCCTAGTTTTCAGAATATGAGATACTATCAGCATATCTCCAACATCATATGAGTTGGTGGATGTCAACCTTAAAAGTCGGAGCTAATCCATAATAACTGTATCGGAACCGCTTGAGTCTAGTTGCAGCTGTTGGCCTTATGTGGTTAGACGTAAGTTTGTTACGCGTGTTCCCACAAAACCCTATTGTTCTTAACCTAAAGGCTGCATATAAGATCAGGGTTATCAGTGAGGTTAGCAATAATCAGAGAATCATTGCGGCCACTAAGGTGTTTCATAAACTCTTGAGGCTTGGGTGTTTCCTGTTGGACTTGGTTTTTTCTTCCGCTCTGGCCCTGTTCGTAGGTAATTCATTCTCTTGCTTGACAGGTTTGCGAGTGGTTCATACGATCTGCTGGAGACTGGGTTTCACAGTTGTCTTCCTCTTGGCCCTTCTTATTACCATATTACACTATTGAAGCCTGTTCACGGCGCTTTCCGAGTTTCTAGACTCAATGGGTCCTATTATGGTTGGGAGCCAACTGTTTTTGTCCATACCTCTCGTTGAGAGTCCTTACTGGGCTTAACGGATGTATTTTTTGTATCATCTGCTGACGATAAAAACTTAAAGAAGGACCGTGAGACAGTGGACTCCATTGCATTTCCGGGGTGTATTATACCTTCCTTGGACTAGCCTCTTGCTCTTGCTGGTTGACCTGGGGATTTCTTCCATCAGTCAACTCCCAAACACTATGGGTCTGTTACCTGGGAGTTCTCCAACATTCTATTCCACTTTCCTCGGTTTATTATCAACTTTTTTCCGTCAACATAATGTTCTGCAGGACATCTTCCAGATCAGGCATTCAAAAGTGGCAGTGGCGCTGAAGAGCAGGCTGGCAAAGCCTAATGTACGAAGATTGTATCCAACCCATCCAAGCGTCATGAAACCATCCATCATAAGTATCACACTGCTTACCAGCCCTGCTTCCTGCACATTTACTGTTCGTCAACTACAGTCATGAAAATGAGAAGAAGAAAGCCCACATAAAATGCTCACAGAAACTCAGGAAAGGACGAAACCTAAGTGGTAGGAAATTCAACCAGATTTGGGATCGAGGTGAGGCCTCAGTATCCAAGTTAAAGCAGAGACACACTTAAAAACAGGGTGTACTAGCTGAAATTAAAGGCCTAAAAGGACAATTACTAAAGATCAGAGATTTCCTTGCGTTATTGCACAGCTAGAGCTAAAATGTTAAATCACTTCATTTCGAAAAGTACGCGGTAGGGGTTTCATGCCTTGAGCAGTGATTTACAGGGCAACGTATCTCATGTATTACTCCTATAAGGAACAATTTATCTCAACTGGCAATGTCTAAGATTTCGGAAACCATGGTTGGAACGTTCTCCGTCAGAGTTTTAAACCACTGGTGCTCTCTGACGTTGGATATAGTGTCTGCATTCCTTGTTGATATTCTCGGAGAAAGATTGAACACTAACAGTTCCATCACTAAAGAGGATTCATATAAGTCGTTGGCGTATTATCCTTGACCTGCACAACTGAAAACTGTTCCTTGTTTTAATGTTCTGATTAGTGATCAAACTTACTTGTCGGACAACATGTCTGCAGTGAGATTGGAAAGTCCAGATGCCTGTGAACGTGTTGGTATGGAATCGTTCGGATTATCTGGTGAAGAAAATACAACGCCAGACTCGAAGGAAAGTCCTCCTCGATACACTATTCAAGGTGTATTGCAGTTTCTGCAGACCGAATGGACGCGTTTAGAAATGCAACGTTCTCAATGGGAGGTGGAGCGGGCCGAACTGCAGGTAATTTGAGGATGGAATTATACTGTAGTTACTCGAAAATACTCAGTTCTCGCCCTCAAGTACGTATTAACTTCCATAATGATGGGTACAGCCTAATGGAAAGGACTTTTGATGTTACTGCTTGGTTTTTTTAATAGCATTTCATTGCCAGTTATAATTTTAGTGATTAAGGATAAAATCGTAGTAAGTTTCATGCTCACTTAAATTGGTGGGTATTTAAGCTGAGGGTTTTTAGTTGTAAGGTGTCACTTAGCACCTGAAGCTGCTAAGATGCCCGTTACTTTACTTTCGTCGGTTTTTCCACGTTCTGTATGTTGGATGTATTTATTAATGGTTCAGTTAGTCACGTAAACCATGCAGCATGACGCATTGTGACATTTGCAGTGTTGACTTGTTTGCCTTCAGTACTAGGTATGCACTAATTTCCGAAATGTTGGGTGTATTTTATGCTCGACTTTAACCAGAGTAGAATTTGGAAACTTTCAAAGAATAATGTGCACCTGAATGTTTGTTTTCATTGAGTTAGATTACATCCCAGCAATGTTTTTATTCCAGGGACAACGGCTTTTTTCATTCTCCGTAATTGTAGTTGTGGTTGCATCAGTATTTTCTTAGTGACATGATGGGTCATTGTTGAAACGGCTAATGAGAGGTGAGTAGGTTCGCTAACTTTTAGTGTGCAAAGGCTTAGAAACGTGTAATTTTATCAGAAGTAAAGTTATTGGTTGGGATTGTTTTTGGGTGAGGAGTTATTCTGCTAGCAACCTAGACATTGAGATGACATACAATCATTTCAGATTACGAATTAAATTGTTAGGATTGTAAGTGTCAGTCAAGTTAGATGTGGTGTTTTGCATAGCCTGTAATGTATAGTGCAGAGTAAATAAAAAAAGACATCAAAATTGGTAAAGGTGTATGCGGGGAGAAACAATCTAGAAATAATGGATGGTGAAAATATTCAAGCTTCAGACGACACCAATGAGTGATACATTTGTAGTATTGAGATCGATTTTTAGCCATGCCACCAACACTCTAACCATTAATTCCTTTTATCTCAATGACCACAGAAAGGCAGTTCACGCCATCTTACTAAACTCTAACAGTCAAAGGCTTCGTGGACCGGTGCTTGTTCTTGCTGTGGCTACCTTGAGCCCTCTGCCAACATAATCACAACTCTTCCAATGTTGCCCGTTGAAGTAAGTGGTGGTGGCCTGGGATCCGCAACACATGCACCACAATCATGCCAGTTACTGAAGCTTCACAACCTCATCGACTGACTTGTCTGTCTTACTAACACTACACTGCGAAGATTTCTTACGGTGATACCATCATAAGAGGAAAAAGCTGCAAAGAAACCTGGGATCAAAAGCATGTCACTTCTTCATGTCTTCTACTTTCAACGACCGTGCATGACAGCCGTATTTCAGTATAGAATGGAGTACAGCGCAGTACACTCGTCTTGTGACAATTGAATATCTTCCCAGTTGGTGCGAGATATGACACCTAAGCCAAACGAACCCTCTCCATCTAGGTTAAGATTTCGTCAGCCATCAGTCTATTCGGGCTAACACAGCTGCCCAAGTAAGCGAAGTGGTCAACACATTCCACCACTTCACTTACTATTAATACTTGGGGAGTAGTTGCAGACAAGTTGTAAAGCATCGTCTTACATTTGAGGGGTGCGAGATGCCTGCCAGCAAAATGTACATGGGTTTCTGCTCAGCATGTCAAGAAGACCCTGCATTTTGCCAGCGTCTTCACCCAATTGTCTGGCCACTTTAAGTCAGCTAGGTATCATGCAGAGAGTAGACCAATCTTAGTGAAGTCGTAGGTACTTGAGGTCATCTTCACTAGTTAATCAAGCTGCTGACCCCTCTTATCTCCGGCTTCAGGACCTTTGATTGTGGTGGCTGTGACTTGCGTTGCGCATGCCTAGTGACCATCTGTCTCGTTGCGCAATGTTTGGTGAAGCTGGTTCCAGCCGGAAAACGTTTCGTGGCAGCTGGACGAAAATATGACATCGGTGCACGAAGCCCTTGACTGTTAGTCTTATCCATGTGGTGAGGTGCAGAATGACCGGTCAAGGTTCAGATGACTACAGAAACTAGTGATTGGGGACTCCAGATTCGATTTCATTTTCGCAGGTGCATCCACGCTTTATTTCTATCTCGACCGCTTTACCGAATTCGTTTTCTCATTCCTTTCTCTTTCACTACCTTCCACTGGTTGTAGCCGATTTTCCTTTCTTCGTCTTATTACTGTCACTTGATGCTCTGATGAGATATAAAAACTTAAACTGCTACGTAGTAGTATCTGGTCCTACGTTGATATCGTTGGCGGTAGTATGAAAACCTGAAACATGCTGAATCGATGGAGTGGAGCAACCATATTTCTTGTAGTTTTACCGAGAGTTTCCTGAAATATTACCAACAATTTCTGTCTGCTTGGAAATATGAATAAACGGCTGTTAGGTAGCCAGACTGGTCGCTCGTTGGGTTTTTGTGTTAGAGGTTCAACCACTACTTTAGCGTATTACCTACCCACCAAAAATTGTATCCTGAAGAGTAGTCTGTCTCTGTTCCTTGTATGACAATGGTAGTTGGAGTAGCCAATCGTGACTTCACTTTGGAAGTCAAATCAGCCGGGATGAGTAAATCCGTTGATAAATTTGCGAACCATCGACTCAGATTTTTGCGAAAGGTATTCTTATTTGTCTACCACGACGCAGGATGTTTGAAGTAGGTTTAAGCTGGAAACGGTATCTCCGTGAGGTCTGTTATTCTGAGCTGTATACTGACATAGACTTTCACGTTGGCGTGCGTGTCAACCGAAATCTATGGGTAGACCTGGTGATGTGGCTCATCGATCTCACTGGTGCAGATGCATTCATATGTAAGCATTCAAATTATCACATGGTACTTTGTTTTACCACTTATCGTACGAACTGCTATGACTTAATTAAAAATGTACCCCATTCCTCTGTTCTTAGCTGCTACCTTTGATGTGATGTTGTGGCAACTTTGACCCTTACAAAGTAATGCTGTGCTCCATAACTAATAATGGAACGTCACTGATCTAGGAGTTTTGTGAAATATCTGTTTCCAATGACTCAGTATTCGAGTGAGTAGCTAGGATCGAGAATCGAATTGGTTGCCTAGATATCATCAGGTAGATGGAGATTTCTATCGATGACCTTACATTTAGTGGGTATTGCGGCACCTCAGCAATTCCTAGTGTCATGAGGTCGACTTCTGTGACAAACGGAAACGTTTGTTACTCTGTTTCGCTTTGACCTTGAGCATAAATACTTAAGATTAGTGTCACCAGCAGCTAAGCGCGCCATTGTCTGACAATATCAACGTAGAGCCTCTTAGACGGGTGCATCGGCTCAAAATGCCACAGCAGTACACGAAGAACAGGTGAATAGAAAGTGATACCGAAAAAGATAAAGTAGTGTGAGAGAATAAGGAATTTGAAGATGGAGGTCAGTGTGGATGTTCAAGCTTTATATGATATCAAAGATTAAATACATCTGCGCCATTAGGACCTATTTTCAGCGTGGTCATCAAGAGTCACCAACCACTTGTTCATTTCTTCCGCTGACCCCAGCTAACCAGACAGTCTACATCGCCCCGCACGACTCAGACCAACTAAGAGACTTCATCGACTGGTGACACATCCATGGCTAGAGATTGCGGGTTCTGGCGAGCCATATTTGTTGATTTCGGACTTCGAAAGCTCCTACATGAAGTCGATGGGGGAGGTCTTAGAAGGCTGGGAATGAGGTGTCGATAGCTTTGGTCGTTGGCAGCGGTTACCGAGTGAGAGTTTGGGTGAGACATAATAGGCTTGATATTAGTATCAGGTGAAGGCAAAGAAGGAAACATGGTTGAGTAAGATGGGTTATGTTTGACCGGGTCTTGTGTACTACTGGGAGCGTGTTGTTGATTGACACCTCCCGGCTGGCCACGCCTTGAAAGGCTATTTCTTCTAAAGGTACCTGACATGAAAAGGTTTCTTTGACCTCAGAGCCTATAGGATATTTGCTTGAGGCCCATCACACGGCGCTTTGCGGGATGTTGTTTTGAGGTTTGGTTGTTCTAGGGCCAGGTTGAGAGAACCCATACTGACGGCGCCGAGAGATCATAAGGCAGGCGAAGTGTGCTATTTTAGGGGGGGGGGGGACATTTTCTAACTCCCCTTCCTTTGGGAAGGCAGCATCAGCGCGGCACCGCTGGTCATTCAAGGGAAACACGTAGCTACTGTGACACCATCCAGAAAACAGCAGTACGATTTCGCCTTCAGACTTCCTTCAGTGTAGTAAGTTGCACTACGACGTTAGCTGCTTTTCATCCCACCACTATTCAACAAACCTTTCTGGGATGATAGAACCCCGAAGGAACAAGCGTCCCAACCAGCGCAGCTCGCCGGGTCACTGATGCGAGCCCAACCATCACGTCAAGGTTAGCAGCTTTCGGTCATTGCTGTGCACGCACAGCAGAAGTGATTTCTTTAGACATCTATTAAATTTTGGTCCTACTCTTTATCGTGGAGCTTATTTCTGTGCTCAGTCTGTATTAAAGCGAGTGGTCATCTATAAGCTTGTTGATTCATGCCACTTTCTATTTTAGGCACGAATAGCATTCCTTCAAGGCGAACGTCGGGGTCAAGAAAACCTGAAGCAAGACTTGGTGCGACGCATCAAAATGCTAGAATATGGTCTGAAGCAGGAACGGGTCAAATTTCATCAATACAAAGCATCGATTGCTGCGGGAAGTTCTCTGCACTCTGCGCGACAACCTGAGAGTCAGGACTACAATAATCCGATGCCAAATACTAAGAGTGAACCAACCACTACGGAATCTGTACTTGAACCTAGAGAAAAACTGGCCCAGTGTACAGAACAAACCTTGGAAAGCAGTGTAAAATGGCGAGAAAGCCGATTGCGTCTTAAGCAGTAAGTTGTTTGCAATTACTGATTTGCAATTACTTGGACATAATACTATTATTGGTTAAACAAGCATCTCCAGTATGCGATCTTTGATCAGAATTGTCTTTTAAGATATTGCAAGGGGGAAACTGGCAGTCGTGGTGCCGACAGCATTGGTGTCATGTAAATGTTCTCAGAACAATTTACTGTGCTTGCACAAATTCTTCACTGTAATCTGCGTTTGGCGCCAGTACACAACACTTAATACCCGCTTTTATAAAAAATTATCATTACCATTTTTCTTTGTAAAAGTAGACAGTCCATTGTCTAGGGGACTTAGGCAAAGTGGTCAGTGGTTAGTGACATAACAGTGGAGAAGGGAGTGGACCTGTTATTGAGTCGTGGGGGAACGGTGGCCAGTGCACTTCGAGAAACAGTTCAACTGGCTTTCAGCCACTGTTCTATTGGCTATTATCCAATTGAATACTGAGTGAAACATTGAGGTGAAGTCTGCAACACTTGCAAAAGTTCAACTTGCTGTTAGTAACCTGGAACGAAGAAGGGCTAGATAGGCCATTGCGAGATAGACGAAATCAACTTGAGTTTGACTTGAACATGTGTTGCGCACACCGAACCACTGCCTGCCTCGACGTGTAATATTAGTCGAAGTTGGATTAGGTTGGAAGAAGGCTCAGGGTGGCACCAGTCGGTAAGGTCTGACCTTTGGTCTCAGCCATGTAAAGAGGTGTGGACTACTTTGTAAGGTTCGCAAGATGATAAGTATCAGTGGTTGAGGAATCATGGTGACATAGCTGAAAATCGGTCACAACGACGCAGATGTATTCGCTGGTGTCTTCTAAAGCTTGAATACTTTAACTAACCATTTCCAAATTCCGTTCTCCACCCATACACCTTTGTTTACTTTGGTGTCAGTCCTTGTCTGTCCACTTTTTCTTTGGATGTTACTGGGGAGTTAGTAGCTTTTGCCTGTCTACTCTATAGGGTAGTACAAAATGACAGTTGTAGAATCTGGTACATCAAGATGGAACAAGCGATTAATTACTTGATCTTCACAGCGATTGTTCTTGTCTCAGGATACTCTTTGTATATCTAAAGTACGCATGTAATATCACGTTGGGTGGAGACGCTTACCAGGTTCGGAATAGCGATTCGAAAATTTTTGGATTGCATTTCTTGTCCCAAAAAGCAAAATTATTACTCTCAGACCTCGTTCAAATTCTTTCTCCCCCCACACACGTTTATCTACTTTGATATCACTTTTTCTATCAACTTGTTCTGTGCATGTTACTTTGAGGTGTAGCAAATTGAACACATATACTCTTATGTGAGGTTCCTAGTTGATTTTATTTGTCTGTTGCTCACTAACTCTTTTACTCTTCTTTCCCGGTAACTTACAGTCTTCTCAACTTTTACATATGTTACTTTGGGACTGATCTTCAGTGGTTCACTGTTTCACAGTGGTATTCTGTTAGTAGTACCGGGAGTTATTTTTGATGGTAACCGGTAGAGTGCAACCACTGGAGCAACAGTCGTCTTGCAAATATGATGGTGTATGAAACTAAGAAAAACAACCGTCTGTATTCTCACTTTTAAACTCACTGCAGTCTCTTTGAACTGCATTTTCATTTACACTAACCCTTCCAAGTTTGACGACGTTTTCTTTGATCGACTAGGTTTCTTCAAGAAGTTGGTTATGCGGATGCTGTAATTAGTGTACGCGAAGCGCGTGTTCGTCAGTTATTGCTATCTGCTGCCGGTTGGCCAAATGAACCTGACTCCCTTATGGTTCTGGATCCAAAGATTAAGCAAAGTATGCCGCCTTATGATAAATTTAAATCAAAAGCAGGGGATAATTCTGGGTGAGTAGTCTTTTCGAAAATGTCTATCAATAGGATTTTTTGTTCGTGGATTTATCTGTATCACGGGATTCATGCTTCCATCCATATCCTGCCCCAGTTTCAATTCGAATCAATAATGTCATGGACATACTTCTATGCACACATAAGAGATCACAATTATTGGTGAGAAAGTAGAAGCTACTGGATGTTTCCATGCACTGACAGACAAATTTTGGCTGAGTAAACTGACACTAATATAATAAACCTAGTTGAAAACATACTCTGTACTTATGGTGACTGTTTTGCCTCAACCTACTAGACAACACTCCATATATGTTGAAATACTGAGTGTCGATTTCAAGTCAGGAATTATGAAACTTGTTTACATATATATATATGTATATATATGTAACTGCATGAAACATATGCATATAAAGATAGGTTGTAATTGATATAAGAAGACAGTACGATTGTAAAAGTAACTACAGTGTAAAGATTGAGCAGGAAGTTCACGAGGCAATGAATTTTGTTTCATGAAGGAAGATTCGATGAAAACACTCTAGTTTAGAGGTTTAATGCGCTATTTTTTAAGTTGTATTTGGACTGTGACATGCAGGTCGAATCAAGTCTACAGGGCGGCGAAGCGACGTAAGACGCTGTATTCCTGTAGTTGCTTCGGTGCTCATTTATCGACTGGGTCCCATTACCCCCTACTGCTTCGGAATCAGGGTTTTCCAGCTCCCTTAGATATACCTTCTGTGTACGCACATCCGCATGTTCACCTTCGTCCCCTCACTTTTGTATAAATATTTCTCACCACTTAATGGTAGTGATTGGGATTTCCCTGACAGGCTATGAGAGCATAAATGTATGAAAGGATTTCGTGATAACCGGAATTGTCCCGCTTTGCTATATTTAGAAATTTAAGGCTCCGAAAAACTGAATGGATGATGTGACGTCAGGCGTGAAGTGTGTTCTATATGAAGAAATGCACTCTTCCACTTTAGGAGGTGTAACACCACTAAAACATAGCGGATGACTAAGTCATATGGCTCAGAATTGATCATAATGCTCATACGCATCTGCGCGTTATCTTTAACTTAATCGTAATTATTATATTTACTTCCTGTGATTTTCTACAACCGGTTATTACTAGCCTTTGTCTGTCTTTTGTCTTGTTACCTCCCACTATGATGTAGTGATACGAGGTGTGACAACTTGAACTATTACTCAGCAATATGTTGATAATACTTGACAGTTTGTCAGTGGTAATAATGTTACTTGATCATGTTTGCGTTTCTAGACTTCAAGATGAACAAGCAAAGAATGCTCTTGCTGAAATAGAAGAGGCGGTACGTTCAGCTCAAGATTACCTCACGCCTGGCGATATAGGTTCTGGTATTAGTAGTGAGTTGAGTGATCAATCTGCAGAGCCAGATACAACTGGCAATTCACTAGGATGTGCAGATAATTCCGACTCTTTTGACAATACAGGTTGGGTGAACAGGTTTCGTCGAACAAACGATGCATCTAAGCGCAGGCCACAAGACCAGTCAAGTTACGCTTCGGGAGATGAGGTGAGTAATGTGCTATTTTCTGTTCTCAGGATTTTATTGTGTAATTTTCTTGTGCCGATCACTTGTCGCTTTAATGATACCATTTGTAATGTGCCTTCTATGCATATCTGAATCAACTTAGTTACCAGTTCGGCGTTGCGTGCGAATACAGTTATCATTCTGTAAGTAGCGTTTGTTGATTAATTAACCCATAGGTTGGCCAATACTTTCAGACAGAACAAATGTAACTTGAATGAACTGGGTCAGATAGGGACTGAAGATGAGTCTTGTTAACATAAGGGAAGCCATCAACTGTTTATTTTTGATTCACCTGTGGATTTTAAAGAGAAAACCATCTCACCACTGTTAAAAATGTTACTTTTCACTGTGTAAAAATAAGACAATTTTCTTAAAATCTCAGCCTTCAATTTTTGTTAATTACTCCACAATAGTTCTTCAGTTCAAGATGGCTATAGGCCCTATCCAACATCTCAGTTCATATTAAAGTGCGACAATGCGTACATTCACGTTATGTAGATATTTGCATGAAATGCACAATGAACCACTTGAAAATAGAATGATTTTCTCACAGCACTTTCTTGAAGGTAACTTTATGATGAACTAGTATTAGAAGTATTAGTGGGATCAGCTGCATTACTGTAAATGAATGCAGCTTAGTTTACTGATATAATCATCCTCCTTCCAAAAGGCATCTGTTGTACAAAGTTGGGACAATGAAATCATTTAAAATTTATTTTTGCTTTTGGTAGTCACCTGTAGTTACAATCGTTGAATGTAACATGTCTTGCCATTTACACGGTGAGTTGTGAGTTGTAAGCCCCAGTGATTTAAAGTTTCCAGAGGTTTTCAGAGTTTTGATCAAAATTATGGTTATGTACTACTGGCTGAAAAACACTCATGATGATTCGCCTTACTCACCGAAAAAGGTAACTTGTGTCAAGCAACTGTTTCTCCTACAGGTTTACTCAGCGTAGCTCGAGTGATTTGGACAGTTTGTAAATTAGGATACGTCGAAAAAGTCTTATTCTAGAACAAGCTGAATCTTGTGTTAAAATCGTATCATTATTTATTTTTGCAATCAGCAGCACCGTCCTCTTATCTACGTGTATATAGATTATATTCTTTCTATTTTGCCGTTTCCAACCGTGTAGCAAAATTCTAAAAACATCAGTTCAAGTACCACAGTATCATCGTTTCTGAACAGTTTTGGAGAGATCGGGAGTGCTGGACTGTCAAAGCGATTTGGCCGTAAACATGCGGCTGATACAAATATTCTGGTAAGATTTCAAATTTTGTTTTTCGTCTGCACACTTTCGATTCTAAAAAGATAATTCACCCTCTCACTTCTTGGTATACCGGTGACGGTTCATAGTCGGATTTGCACAAAATCAATAAAACTATAGCTTCTACAAATGCCGTGTGTGATGTACCTCAAACAGATGTCCTTCGGGCTCTGTGATCACGAACAAACCCATGTACATCAAGGGAAACCAGCCTTCCACACCCTTGTTGCTGTTGCTCAGTGGTTTATGGAGATGACTTTCAACCGCTGGATCACGGGTTCAAGCCCCGCTTCACCTACTGAGGTTTAGGCAGCCAGGTATCATCAACCCTCACAAAAAAGGTTTGGCTTATCTGCTGCACAAGTGTACACAAGGTAGCTGAGTGGATTTCGTTATTTCCCGATTCTTCCATATCCTTACCATCTCATTTCCCCTCACGTCCTTCGGTCAACATTCCTGTGTCTCTAATTCGTTCCAGCTCTTCATAACTATTTGAGTTCATAGAACAGCACACCTGGTCTCTCGGGGCCGAGCTCTAAACTACACATTGAAGCTTTTAATGTTATTCAACTCTCCCGGCCACCATGACGAGTCTGCAAAAATCACCCTTCGAGTTTCTGGAGATTCGATGATTAGTTTTCATTGTCTTCCAGGAGCAGGTATAGATAGTGTTAGATCTTAAGACAGACAGTGTACTGCTGGACTAGACAGTCGCCTGTATGCTTTTCAACTGAACGGTGCAGTGAAAACCGAAAGAAGTAGTGGGGCTCATTGTTGTCGTCTTGTGATTTTTACTTATGCATACACTGACCGCAGCTCCTGCAAACTCTACCGAGAACTATCTGGTCTCTTACTGAAAATCAGACGTTTAGACATGGTCATCATAGCAGGCGATTTCGGTAAGCAGGGATCGGCGATAGATAAAAGTATACAGCTTTTCAAATTCATTAGGGAAACGGGTGTAAAAGTCAATGATTATTGAGACTTAAGCGAAAAAGGTGGGTCTGTGATTCATTCGCAGGTGCGGTGATGGGCGGAATACTCCGTAAACAGTTCAGCTGGCTTTCAGCTGCTATTCCGTTGGCTATTATACAGTCGGACTCTGAATGGGCCCTTGAGATGGGGCCTGCAACACTCGCAAAAGTTGAGCGAGACTGTAAAGTGAACCGACATCTGGTGGCCTGCTTAAACAATAGGCACTGAAAGATTTCTATTTCTGAGGTCTGTGGAGATTTATTTATTGGTTTCAGGTTGCTATTCCTCTTGAGCCAACATCAGTTGGGTTCGGTCCGCGGCGGGGAAATGTTTGCGCACTGCTGAGGAGTCCCATACTAGGACGAAGTAGCTATTCAATGCTCCCAGGTCTCCAATATTTCTCTAACTTATGTCAGTCCATGGTGAATACCTAAGGATTTTCCAGAATGTATTTTCTTTCCCTTCGATTTTTTAAATCTTGTGTCATGTGCTTTCGGGCGTTTTTAAAGTGTTTTCAAGCTAGTTTTTAAAGCCATAAATGAGATAAACGAAAAACGTTACCTGGGTAAGAAATGGACTTGAAATGCACGGAAATACTGTACCTATGTCGAATTGCAAAGTTTTGTACTAGCTAAATAAATTACCACCACCAAATTTACGCTCTATTTTCTATTCACTCACCAATCCAGACCGAAAGCTCATGTGCAATGACGATTTCGTTTAAAAATGATGTACAGGGAATGAGTTTGTTGAAATGCTAAGTGCTAAGAATTCCGTACTGTATCACGAATGATGTTTAGAATAGGACGGTTATAATAATTATTAATGCGTAACCTAGGAAGAAAAGAGACAGGTGGACCGGACTTACTAGTACCGGAGGCATGTAAGGATGGCTGTCGTGGGTTGCTGTTGATCAAGTTAACTGAAATGTTAACCAACGTATGGGAATCAGAAATGGTCGACTCTGACTAGTCCAGCCTTCAACGAAGGTGAGAAGTCCTCCTGAGATAACTACAAGCGTTAGAAGTACTAATATAGTGTCTAAGATCTTGGTTTTCATAGTTATTAAACGTCCAAATGGAATTTAGTGACTGCATACCCAATAAAGTCAGCCATTCTTCAGACCTGATCGTGGGTGTATCGACGGAGTATTCACTATCCGCCAGGTTCTGGAACACGGGGTCACTTGCTGACACCTGATACGAGTTACATTTCTTTACGTGAGTTTCACATTCGACTCCACTGGTCGATAGGTCAGTCGCTCACTGAATGGGGTGCCGAGTGAGTGCATCACTCTGTCGAGGTCTCCATACTAAACACCTGTGGACTTGTTTTCAGGTTAGTTGCCTGCGTCGAGTGATATATGTCAAGGATGTCCGCTGCCTCCATTTCTATTCAATTTTAAAACGGACGTGCTTATACAGGTCTGCCTCTCGTTGTCTTGCTTTTAAATGGAACGATCTTATCACAGGAGACTTCATAATAAATCTAGAGTACGCCAACTACATAGTAAAGGATATGAATGGACTTCAAGTGTTTTTTGCTCACTGTTGCTTTCGTAGCATAGGCCGTGTGTCATGGTGTCACCGCGTCATCAGTGATGTAGAAGTCAGATGTAGAGGAGAGAGAGGTCAGTTAATCGATGACATGTGGAAACGAACAGACACAGAATCAACTTAGAACTCTGACACTCAGGTGCATCGTTTCAAGTTGCTACACTTCATAGTAGTATGAAAAGAACAGGTGGATAAAAAAGAGTAGACAAAGCTATGTGAGAGAATAAGCAATTTGAAGGTAACAGTTAGTACGAATATTTAAGCTTTAGAAGATGCTAAAGGGGGAATACATTTACGTCACTGCGACCTATTCTCAGCAATATCATTTATCCCGTCGTTGGGTGGTTACCAGCCCGGGACTTAACATCTCCCCGTATGGCTGATACGAACAGTCGGGGACTTCATCGACTGATTCCAGGTATTGGTCTGGCCGCTTTAAACTCCTTTTCCAACCTAGTCTAACTTCCCCAGTTTTCGGGGTCGGTGTTAGTGGGTCGGGATGCGCAACATATATTCAAGTCACCTCATTCGATGAATGTTCACAACCTCGTCAATCGACTTGCCTGTCTAGTTTGGTACCCTTCGACTGACCTCAACATTGCTCACACAGTGTTCCATCAAAAACGAGCAATGCTACGGAGACGCCTATTGTCAAACACCTGTAACCACTTCGTGTCTTCTGCCTTTATTTGCAATGTCTCAGCCGAATACTAGGACAGGACCGACTACAGCACAGTATAATCGTCCTTTGATAAATAGTCGGATATCTGTCCACTTGATAAATGCCAAACAAGCTTTCTTTATCCGAGCTAAAATTTCATGTCTTCAGTCCGTTCGGGATTATACAGTTTCTCAAGCAAATTAGATGGTCGACACATTCAACCACTTCATTGTCATTCTAGACATCAGCACTATACAGGAGATGCTTCAGGTCCAGAATTCTTCTCATCTCTGGAGTCATCACTGGTAACTTCAGAACCAAACCATAAAACCCAACAGGGAATAAGACAAATCGTTCCTTTGACCAGGCGGAAGCAAAACTGTACTCAATTAACCAGTGAGGAACATTGTTATTGTCCCAACTGACGAAAGGCGCACCACACTAGTCATGGATATAGATGACTACATCAAAGAGGTGGGAGAATTACTCATGAAGTTTGGCTCTTACATTACCAAAACTTTGAACAAACGCTTCGAAGTGGAACAAATTACAAAACAAGAGCAATGGGAAGGAAATTCAGTGGACCTGTCCTTCCACGTTTCTATGTTAAACGAAAAATACGCTAACCAGAAACCCCAGCATACAATATTTCAGAAAACTAAAACATCTGGTAATATCATACGACTACTCTATCAACCCTCTGACACAATTTTTGGAAACGACCAAGCATACTGATGGTGTCTTTCGACGTTACAGCTTTGCACACCTTAATTGAACCGAAACCGACCAGGGGTACAATGACCCTTCGCACCTATGATACACACTTCTCGGAACACAACTGCAATGTTCGGGTTTGATGACTAACTGATATATGCCTTGAAACATATTTTCGGTGCAGCGACTGACTAACTATACAAACAGACGAAAGAAGCACTGATGGGGTCGCTTATGTTAGGGCTAATTACAGAAGCAGTAATACAAATATTGGGAACCAGGATATTACCGTTGATGAAACCAACACTGTGGATCCGATATTTACATGACACCATCATTAAAAGAAACAAATTGGAGAAGGCCTACGAATTGATCAGTAACACGTTCGACGACATCAAATTCACAGCTGAAGAGGAATCAAATAATAAACTTGCACTTTTAGATGTTCTGATCACTAGAAACGGGTTCGGGAAAATTGGAAACTGAAGTATCCACAAAGTCCACTCATACCGGCCAAATCCCCAACTGCAGTTGCAACAACCCAGCAACACACAAAATCAGTTGTATGAAAGCATTTTTCAAAAGAAGTGAAACACGTAATACATCAACTTTGAGGAAAGAATAAAATTGTGTAGTAATTGTTTTTGAGGAGGACATCTATCCACACAGATGTTTGCATAATTCATCACTAACCAAGAAGTCACCTTCAAAAACTAACGAACGGATTTTCCTACCCTACATAGAGAACGTCTCTAAGGTCATGAATAGATCACTGAAATCTTAAAGAATCGTTGTAGTTCACAACCTCATAAAAGCTCTTCACTCTCTGTTAAGCAGGCCAAAAGATGCAGTAGTCAAGGAAGACAAACGAAATCAAAAAAAGACAAAAAACTGCAAGAAACACTACATTGGACGGAGTGATCGTCCTCGTCGTATCTGTTTGCATAAAAATTAACCAGAAGTAAAGCAATATGACATCCTTGCTCATATCAATGCATATGGATGGACAACTGGACGCGGATTTGACTGGGAAAATGTGGCATTCCTAGACGAAGGAAGTACGTGGAATGCCAGAAATTATTTAAAAGCTTAGCATTCATTCAGGTCAGTCAGCGATCAACGTACACGTACTGACATTGACTCTATCAACCAATAAGGCACAACAAGGAGGTCAAAGTTCACATCAGCAGGGCAACCAATCATACAGAAGGCCATCAGGACAAGCTACCAAGCGACTTGTTTAGAAAACTCTACGACTCACTTTTCTGAATTTCGTACTGATGGTGGTGTTGTCTAGAATGACAATGAAAGGTTCATGTTTTTGTCATCCAACTCAGAGAATACAATGCCAAAAATATTTTGATTTGCTTATTTCTGATATTTCACTGAGTAAATTCCTGCTCCATGCCTTAAATATACGAGTAAGAGCCTATTGTGTGTGTATATTTATAGCTGTAAGTTACACGTTTGATCCCATTTCACTAAATGATTTGTCCCGCCTGCATTCACGCATGTTGGTTATATGGTCATAAAAATCCAGACTTAGCTTTCGAAAGCGTCACTCCTTTGACAACTCGATAAACTGATGAGTTTCCAGTCTTTAAAATATCTGGTATAGTGAGTTTTGAAGTATGATGGCTTATGGGGATTATATGTGGGAAATCCTATGATTAATTTAAACGACTGTTTTTATGAAGCGGGATGACCTCGTAAACCAACACCTAAACCAGGTGAATTGGGTCAGCTTTTTCATCTTCCAAATAGAACGTCAACTCAGCTCACCAATGAACTACCTCGAATTGAATATCCTGATATTTCGGCAAGAAGTCGTGATCTACAGGGTCAACCAAGTCAAGCGTACAAAAATACTTATCCATGTCACTGGACAATAACCACACCATGTCGCATATTGACTTAGTAGAAATATGAGCTAACGGATTCTTATTTGTTGGTTGACTGGTTACGTGCTGTACGCGAAATCTAACAGTTTTGTGTCCGGTACGGCATAGGATAGTGGGGGCTGACTGATGAGGGTTCCCAAACTAAAACGGAGTGACTGTCCCGTGCATCCTAGTATTCTAGTGGATGTCGATTCATGAAAAAAACGTTTCGTTGCAGTTTACTGTCCAAAGACCTTCGAATTGATGTCTTTTTCATGATACCATTTTTCGGCAGTTTAAAAGGTAAGAATTCCATCCATATACTGACCCATTTATGTTCAGTGTTTATTTCATCCTGTCCTCTTTTCCCCTCAGGATTTAATAAATGCGCTCTCGGAAAACGCTGATGATAATGATAACTTTTTATCAGACTCTGCATCTGACATCAATTCAACCGCTGCAGTTTGTCCCGGAGGTCCCCAAACTTCTATTCCAAACAGTCATAAGTCATCGAATTCTTTATATAATGCGTCTCCTTGTTGGCAAACGGATATGCTAGATACAACTGTCACGGATACAACTGGTCAGCTTGGATCAAAGAGTCGTTTGGAATCTGGAAAAGAACCCGACCCAACAGATACTCTTGGACTTGGAGATTTGGCCGGTTTGACGGTAGCTAATGAAGCTAGTTTGTTTTTAAGTAAGCACTAGAAAATTTAGATTCAGTTTAAAACGATTCATCGGTTTTCGGTTATTGCCTGATGATAGTCTAGTTTGCATTCTCAGCAGTGTATCCGGTTCTTTCATTTTCCATGAATTTCCATTGCGTTTATTATCGATGTATTCTACACTGTACGTCGTGCAATGTAAACGTATCATATTTTTGTATGTAAAATAGGTTAGATTTATTCATAGTGGATTTCAATCCACCTTTCGTCAAACAGCATCATTAATACCGCGTGCATAACCTTTATTACCGTTTGACAGGTTGCTCTTATTCTCATTTTTATTTCTTCAAATTACTCTACTCATATTTATTAGATGGTGATATTTATGATTCAAATTTGCCTCAGAAGACCAATTATGATTCATCAGTACTGTCTGTTTCTGCTGGAAATGATGATGCTCATGTAGATGTAGGAGGGAATATATCATCATCATCATCATCAACATTCTCCTCTAGTCGTCGGTCATGGACGCCAAGATATACACTACGTGGTCATTTCGATGGAATCAGAAGTGTCGTATTTCATCCGACTGAGAGAGCTGTTTATACTGCTGGCGAAGATGGGTGTGTAATGCTATGGAATTTATTGAAAACTCCTGGTCCTTCTGGAACGGTATGCTTTTTTTGTCTACTCTATAGTCCCTTATTTTAACAGACATCAGTTTCATTCAGTGGAGTTTTTCTCTTTTTCCTTTGTTTTTGGTGACCTATCGTTGATTCTTAGATGTGTAACTTTTCGAGCTACTTAACTGCCTTTTTCTCTCTAAAACCTCTTTTACAAGGCGAGTCTTGGTATCCTAATACATAGAAACTTTCTTTTGATTTTTCAATACAACCAACAGCTTTTACTCAGTATTAACAGTATATACTCAAGCATCTTTTAACAGCTTTCCAAGTCTACAAACATCGTAATAAGATTCCACTGAAAATTGCACGGTGACTTTAAAAAAAGTCATCCTTTTCTAAAAGTCTTCCTCGAGTACCTATCATGAATAGTATTTTTGTGAATACTCGTCATGTAAACAAGTAGAAGCTCTAATTTCTTGTAGATTGAATATAATCTAGACTGAATTCGTGAAATGTATTCATTCATTGAAGAGCGCCAGTTGATCTGAAGCTTATTCGGAAGAATACACTTACCCATACATATCTCAACTACTCTTTCATAAATAATATTGGTGTGACTTAACAATTGTAAACGACTTCATTTTCTAGACATCATAACTAATATATAAAGACATTCACTACTAGACTGAGGGATATGTATTGAGTTTCAAGTTCATAACTTGATAACGTTCACATTTTCTGTTTCTTTAGACAAGACTAGAGACTGGAGATTAATTTCGGTAGGACTACATTTCTAGGTAGTTATGAATCCAACTATTCGACAGCAAAGATGTATTAGACTTATGCAGTAATTAACTTTTCATCTTTTGGAGATTTCTGACTCCTGATGAAAATTACATTGGTTTGTTGTTCAGTCATCTGTGCTGCTTGATCAAATATCAAACTTTGTAGAATACCAAACAACTTATCTTTTACTCTGTTTTTATGCATCTCTTTCTATAGGCTGTTACATTGGGAAGGGCAGTGTCAACTCTCATTTAGGTTCAGTAGATGAATTATCACCTGTTCATGTTTATTGTGGTCATGAGGGTCCAGTTCTGTGTCTTACTACACCGAGTCCATTGCTTTCTTCAACCATGAGTACAGCTGTGTTTTCAGGTGGCCTAGATGGAACCATTCGGTCATGGCGTCTACCATTTGGATCGAGTGATTTTGGACTAAAAGACATTTTTGCACCTCATGAACTGGAAACAGTAACTGGTCCGGTGTTTGAAAGTGAGTTATGCATTCCTCTATTGTCAACCTTATCTTCAAATAATCTTTATTCTGTTCACTATAATATGGTTGTTTATAGGTGTCGGTTTTAAGATGTTATATCAGATTTAAAATGAAGCGTGTGGCTTATGGAAGGGTATCAGTGCAGTAATTTTTGATCCAAGTAACACCAATAGACATGTTACGTATTACGCGTGACCAACACTGCTGCATGAATCTGTACGCAGTTGCGGCGTTTTTTCATCTTTAGATTCAAAGTTAAGGTGCCTGAATTAGGAATATAAGTATTATTGATAAGTAAAAATAATAGTTACCGATGTAAAGAAAATGCACATACAGTTCATTTCTGAGTCTATTATTGCACTGTTTACCATACCTAGATTTAACAGTATCATTCACTTTCTCAAACACTAGTAATTGGGGTAGTTTTATATCAATAAACCCTAATTGAGGGTTAGTCGGTAAGACTGTATATCTTATGAAAGTTGGATCACTCAGTCATCTTACATTGCTGCCAAGTAATATGAGGAAGAATAAATATGTGTTAGAGGAAACTTAAGGGATAACTTTTCTGATTCCTAAAACTTGTTGAAGTACTGCAATGATTGTCCTACTGAAGTTCATTTCCGAACGAAACTCCCCATACTTTTTCATTACTTTTTGTTCTTTCTAATGTTGAAACTGTTGACTCAACGGTGCTCAAAACTGCATCATGTGTACAGTGTTGAGGTTACGCGTAGAGCACTACGTAAAGAATATAAGTTAGTTGACAAAGTTGTGAACCTTCATCAGCTGAGAGGTGGCTTGGATATGTGTTACGGATGCTAAGCTACTGCCTACCTCGATGTGCAGTGTTAGCCAAAGTTGGATTATGTTGAAAGAAGACTTAGAGTTGCCAGATCAAGAGATGGCACCAATCTGATAGTTCGTTCCAGCCATGTAAGATGTGTAGGCTGTCTGTCTGGGGTCCCCGCGATCACAAAAATCAGTGGTTGGTGACCCCTTAGTGATATGGCTCCAAATCGATGACAATGATGCAAATATATGCACTTTTTTAGGTCTTCTAAACCTTGGACATTTTCCTTTTCCCCCCACTCACCTCTCTCAACTTTCATATCATTTTCTCTCTACCCACTTGAAGTATGACGACTGAACTAGCGCACTTCTGTGCGAGGTTCTACGTTAATTTTGTCATCTGTTTGCTGTACCATAATCCCGTGACAACTTGAAATCTAGTTACTGTTTTGTTAGACAAGAAAATGCTCTTTTCATATGTCAACAAAAATATACTTTATAGTTTTTTTTCGTAAGTGCATGGTTACCACTTCTATAGGTTGTGTTCTCTTTTGTTTTTTTAGATTCAACATCTCCTGTGTGGTCAATCGCTTTACATCCATCTAGTCCCCTCTTACTTGCCGCTCATGCAAATGGTTCCCTTGACTTTTGGTCAACTGTGGAACCATTTGAGGGCAGTTCGTCAGGTGCTCCAGTCCTTTCTGTTCACCTCGATCGTATTATAAAACCTGCAAGTACGTTTCATTTTTCACTTCAGTGTATACCTTCTATTGCACATGCATGGAAATGGCAGGTCGTTATAGAATAGTAATGTTTTAGTTGAATGTATTGAAGATATCCCTGAAGCTCCCTACCCTTGAGTTCGTGATTTGCAGTGTATTACCCAGAAGTTGTGCATAAAATTTCAAAGTACTTGATCGGAAAGATCTTTCGCCAATTGATAGATGCCACGTGGGTGCGGTTTACAAGCGCGCATATCCCAATCACCGAATTAGTAAGCGAGCTATGATGGTGAATCGCTTGTTTACTCAAGGTCTTATCATCATGATAGCTGAAATTTTTCTGTCGGGATGGTGGTAAGACACAAAACAGTCACCGTTGTATTGTGAAGTATTGCCCTATAATAGCGATTTGAGGGCGATGTCATGCCCCTGGTCGTATGGCGTGTGACAGACGTGAGGCATTTCCCTTATATGATAAGCTATGCCATGCTGGTGTTGCATTTTCTATGTGGAGGGGGTTGTCACAAAATTTTGATTTCGAAATTAGCATACTACACCTTTACCCTGCAATCTTCACCTGTCGGCGGTATGATTTTAAAGCTATGTTTCCAAATAAAATCTCAGAACTTCTGCAACCCCTGTTTCTGACCAGTCTCTTGCAGATAACCCACTGTCACTAACAACTTATGTTTCAGTTACCTCAAAAAGAACTAACGTTCCACGGTGTGGACAGCTGAGAAGTATCAACTGCTCGCACCATTCTGTCAGCATTCAATTTTCTTCTGATCATTATCAACCTCCAACATCTTCAGCCTCTAATCATTGTTCTCGCCTCTCGGTCATTATTCCCTCGTCATCTTTAATTTGTTCCAGCTTTACAGCTCTCAACAACGATTCGAGTTCAGGGGACAGCATTTTTGGTCTCCTGGAATCGCGCTCCAAACTACAGATAGCAGTCTTCAGTGTTCCGAATCTCCGTCAAATCGGTCAACAAGTTTCGCCATCCAGAACTTCTAGTATCTCTGGTCTTTGGTGTGTGTTGTCTTTGTGAGACATGCATGTAGGACCCAAGTACGGTTATTCACTTAACCTCACCTGCCCACCATTAGTTCGACATTCGACTCCGTCGATTGAGAAGTCATGGCAGTGTCTCTCACTGAAAAAGGTGTTGAGTGAGTGCATCACTCTGTGGAAGGCTCTGCACTCGAACACCTATGGGTGTGTTAACAGGTGAGTTATGTGCATCGAGCGGTGTCCGTCAAGGGTGTCCACTGTCTCCATTCTTATTCAATTTTATAATACACGTGCTTACGCAGGTCTTCTCGTCGTCTGACTTTACATGGAACGATCTATCACGGGAGACTTCTTAGTAAATCTAGAGTACTCCGAAGACATGTCCATGTTAGTTGAAGATGCAGAGTTTTCTGGACACCTTGAATGGGGATTTTGGAATGTTGGGGTGCACTCCTCACCACCCGAATGCGAATTGTTTCACTGGGACTGGTCTATTGTCTAAATAGGGAGTGAAGTAGTTGAATGCATTGACCACTCGGCTTACCTAGGAGAGGGAGGTCAGTTGATGAAGTGATGAATGTTCGTCGACTGAGATGACTGGGGAATTTGTTACGCATGCCTAGTCAATCGCCGTCTGCTCATCGTATAATGTTGGCTGAAGTAGGTTTAGTCTGGAAAAAGAGTTAAAGGTGGCTAGCGTAAAATATTACATGAGTCCATGAAGTCGTCTTTGACCGTTGCTCTGAGCCGTGTAAGGAAATGTAGACTTGGTGGTTGGGGTCGGCATGATGATAGAATCCAGTAGTTGGAGATTCCAGTTGATGTTACAGCTCAGGATTGATCTCAGCAGCGCGGGTGTATCCACATATTATTTTTATTTTGAATTTCAGTATTCTCTCGTTCGTGCTGTACTCTCCTTTCGGCAATTCCCCACCACTTTTCGCTGCTTCCTGCCTTATTATTTCATCTCAGTGCTTTCTCGGTTGGTGTGGTGTTTTGAGTTGTGCCAACTTCAACCGCTATGCAGTGATGTCAGGTACCTGGGTGATATGATCTATCTGTTTTCTTTTTCTGCTACGCGTATTTTGGAATCCTTGTTCATCGTGATAGACAGTTAGATATGAAGTTATTAGTCTTTGGTTAAGACCACTCGGTATTTGTCCAGGGTGTTTAGTATTTTGAACCTTTATGCAAGAATATCAGGTGCTACAGTGATTTTGTGTGATTGTGAAGTGGTGAATGCGTTTCAGTTGTTATTGTTTTGGATTTTGTGCTGAGATTTCGGTTGTCTACTAGCTTCAAATAATGTTTGAGTCATAACACAGTCATGTATTGCAAAATTCGTAGTTTTCGGCGCTTTTTTTCGTCGACTTTTCTAGATAAGTGTAATTATTACTTTAGGATGCTTGTAATTTCAGATGGAAAACTATTTGAATGTTATACTCTGAAATTACTGGTGTTTTTTTACGGCATAATGCTCTACATTCAAGCATCGGTATTTAAATCGTCAAGTTAGATAAAACATGTCTCCTGGTTTTCTCTGTTAGTTATTAGAAACTGACGAATAAGCTCACGCATCGATACGAAGAGCCCATATTTCAGTTTAGGTTGATCATTTAGATGGGAAAATGATCGGTAATGGGATCCAGGAATTTCTTTTCGTCCTTTTGTGGACTTGCTAGCTAGATCTCTCCCACGGTGTAGTGTGCCAACTGAGATTTAAAACCAGCACCAATCACGTGAAATGCTTGAAAATTATTAACTAGGCTACTGAATTAAAATGAACTCTTACTTATTGGGTATTGGTATCATTAGTACTATGAACTTTTTATTGCCTATTTCTGATTGATTTTAATTGAACAACCCCTATGTCGTATAGTTGTGTCGACCAACCAGAATTTTGCTTTAATTAGCGATGGGATGAAATTTACCTTGTCTTACCTGTACTGGAATTCGTCCCAATAATTCTTGTCGACTGATTTCTGTCTCAGCTTTAGCTTTTTTACGCGCAGACAATTGATTTAATTGATTAATAGTCTAAAATATCCAAATAATTAGCAAAAGTATTTGTTAGTGATGAAGAGCAGAATGCTAATTTTCTATCAGAACGGAATAAAATGTCTATCTATTAATGAAAGGTTGGAAATATCACTTTAGAAAGCACACTGCTATATCATCTTTCTCACAGTCATAATTATTCTCCCCTGATGAAAAAATAAAAGTATATCCCTTGTCCTACAGAAAATCATCTGAGATAACTTTCTCTAGACTGTTTCGTTGGTTATTGAAACTTCTCAGTACTTCGCACCTATTAACACTTTAGAAGATCTGAAGCTGGAAACTTGAGGTTTTTTAGATGGAGCAAGTTGTTAATTTTCAATCGAATTCTGTTTCTAACGAAGCAATACAATATGTCTACTGGACGAAGTAGGTGCTTCATTCATGAAGATGTTTGTCTGTGATATCAAGAAACCTTATAATATTTCATAGTTTGAGACATGATTTCATACACTTTTTTATTGAACTGTATCACTAGGTAAATTACTTAGCTTCATCATAATGCCTTGGTAGATAGACGTAGATTTGCAGTCTGTTGGGTACCTCTTATCATGTGTCTTGGGCGAAAAGATTCACCATTATGAGTGTAGTCGCCAAGTGATTCTCTGATATCTATCAACTGATTAGAAGACGCCTAAATACTACCGAATACCGAAGATAATAGTTTTGAAATGCGTATACTTAAAGATTATTGAAAAGCACTGCATTCTTAGATACACCGTCAACGTTCAGTTTAAATTCAAAGATCAAATGTATAGACGAACAGATGGCATGCCAATGGGGTCATTATTGAACCCTATTCTTGCTGTTTGCTTTATAGCAAACATAGGGAAGACTATTTTGAATCCAAAGACGTATAGGTTTCACATATAAGAAAAATATAGACGATGTATTTACCACATGTGACGAAAAAAATGATAGTGAGGCCATAGTTGAGGAGTTAAATTAATATCACCAATCATCCAACTTCACTTCAGAATCTGAGAATGACTTGAATAATTTGAAAGGTAAACAACATATAGAGCGAATGCACATGTTTCCGAATAATTTATGTGAATGTTGATTTTTGGGAGTAATACTGCAGCTGAAATTCTAGATAAGAACATTCTTTGCTGCCGAATTACACATCACATTTTCCAGTTGTAAAATAATTCCTCAGCGTATATTGATTATTCAGTAGAGAGCAACCAATTTCATGCTGTCTAGTTGTGGGTGTTGACAGAAATTTAGCGATCATTTCGCTCACGTCTGGGTGAAGCTAGTTCGAATCTTAGAGGAGACAACAGTTTCTTCGAGTTTGCAGATACGCCTAGCTAAAGAGTGCCAACAAGCGTGAAGCCTAGGTTAAAACTACCTACCAATTGCCTCAAACCAGATAAATTTCTTGAGTGTGCTAAGGATATGCTACCACCTTGATCCACCATATTGTGAGTTTACAAGTTCACTTGTTTCTGTAGAACTAGTTATATTGGCCGCATATCGCATGCACTTTTAAAACGCATATCTGAATATTGCTCAGAGGAGAATGTAAGTCAACTACAAGTTCGGTTTTTAACCTCCGAGGTCCGCCTCAGTCTGTCTTTGAGAGAAAAATTGAAACAAAGGATTCAAAAACTGTACGAGTTCACATCTCGTTCATGGTGAAGGCACTGACCATTTATGAACTCAGTCTGGCTAACATAGTTTGAAGTAACTGCATTGAATTCATTAGAGCTGTTAATGTCTTGATCAGAGTTGTATATTGGAGCTCTGGTTTCTTTGAGATTGATATCCTTCCTGCTCGTAAACTCCAAGAACACGCTGAAATGTATTTTCGTATTTTTGTTTGTCGTTTCAGTTAGCGCGATCAGTTTATGCTGCTTAAAATGGTCACCTGCTGGTGAAGTTTACGCTGTTTGTGATGTATTGTGGCTTTGTAATATCGGATCTGTCTGGTGATGTGAATGTAACCTAATCAACCAATGGTGTCTAAGCGAATCATTGTTCTTGATAGTGTTATGTTTGATGGAAGTGTCTTGTAGACGTTGACTTGTATTTCTGGGAGTGCTTTATCTTCACGAAAATGCTGATTGCCACTTTTACAAAACACGTTTTGTTCCAAAGAATCCATTGTCATTAAAACCGATGTATCATGAATTGCAAATTTTAATGATAATTTTTTATTACGTTATGGAATTACATTTTTCTAGGCAGTGAACCTGAATTTGGTCGCCTAACGTGCCTTCATTTCTTGGTCAATCGTCCAGATTCCTTAAATGCTTCTCAGTGTGTTGTCGGGACGAGTACCGGATGGTTAGCTCTCATAGACGTTCAAACTGGTCAAGTGGTTAATCAAATTGTCCCAGCCCCTCCTCTAGCCTGCCTCAGTGATGACCAGCCCCCAAACATGGGTATGTTTTTGATTGTTAGTTTCTTATTGTGAAGCAATGAGGTGTTTATAGCTGCATTAGACTCATGTTTTTAGAGTCCCAAGTGCGGTGTGATTTGTACCTGAAGTGAAATTAACCATTGTGGTTACTGAGTTTTATATTCAGAATATTTTGAAGCAGAAAATGCAATTTACTTAGATCTATGCATTTCATTATTTTATTTGCAATTAGCAAACATACCGGTATCAGATGAGTACAGTATGCCTCCTGGTTGGACAGAACGTGCACTAAATGCCTTGGGTTCACATAAGACGCTATCTCTTGTTATTGGTGCTCATGAAGACCGATGCATTCGTTTTTACGACATAAATCGTATGTCTGATCGTTCATCAGTCACAAACACAGCATGTGTGGATGCAATGGTTACTCACTTGAATGCAGTTACAAGCCTTGCCGTAGATCCTCATGGTTTATATTTATTAACTGGAAGTAAGTGAATGTGTTGAATTTTAACTGATTTGTTTTGTGAAGAATATATAAATTATCTGAACATGTGGATCAGGATAATATTCATCAGTTTGTCTACTACTACTACTACCTACTACTGCTACTAGCTTCTTGCCAAAAGTGGTGACACGAATCTATTTGAACACTTGAATTCGTGCCGTTGTGTAACTTACAGGTCAGTGGATAGCGGAATAAAAAGCTATCAGCCTACAGAGATTTAGGCGGTCAGTTAGTAAGTATCACCACATCACATCATGTCACACTGTGTTCAGCAATTGTATGTGTCTTTTCACATATGCATACGAAACGCTAATGACTCCCGACTGACAAAATCCAGCATACTGATGCACCTTCTCGAATTGCGACACCTTACAGTAGTACACAAACAACGTATGTGTAGAAAAGGAGTGATATCAAAGTAGACAAAGTTCTGTTAAAGAATAAACAATTTGAAGATCAAGGTTAGTGTGAATACTCAAGCTTTATAATATGCTAAGGAGTGATGAATACATTTGTGCCACTGCGATAATTTTCAGCCATCTCACCAAGAGTCCCCAACCACTAATTCCTTATGTCTCGGGATCCGAGCTGGACAGAAAGTCAACATCTCCTCACACTGCTCAAACCAACAGCTGGAGACTCCGTTGACTGGTGCTACTTTTTGGTCTGGCCATCGTGAACGCTTTCTCAGCCCAATCCAACTGCCCCCACCAGCATGGCACGTCGAGGTAGGCAGTGGCTCGACATGGGCAGTACAGACTCAAGTCATCTCAGTCGACTAGGGTTCATAACCTAATCAGTCGACTTACCTATTTAGCCTAGTATCTTCGACCTGACCTTAATACCGCTCACTTGGTGACTCCACAAAACGCGAACAATGATACGAAGGCATCTGTAATCAAAACCCAGTAATTGTTTTGTGTCTTCTCCTTTTAATGCTTATGTGTCACAGTCATACAACAGGATAGAATAACTGCAGCGCAGTATACTCGTCCTTTGATAGGTAGTTGGATATCTCGCCAGTTGGTGGTACAGGTGACGCTAGTTGGCTAGTGCTAAACGGAAATCCAATGGAGATACAGCCTTGTTAGTGATGCAAATGTGTGGATACAGCTACGAAAGCCAATGGTAATTGTGAAAACACTGATGAGAGTAGCTGACAGACAGCTGTCTTTATCCTCTTTGAAACATCATTGATATTCGTCAGAGAACTAATACTAATCAGCATAACACCCTTCACATTTTTTTTAAAGAAACTGTCCCAAACGAATGCTTAGGCGTGTTTGCTAAAGCACACATCGTGTCCAAATTCAACTCCCTTTTGTCTATGTTCCAGTTAGACTATCTAAATAAGTTGTGTGGTTTTAGCGGACAATAAGTGTGGAATATGGTTTAGGGAAATGTAATTCATTGATATTACGATTGTTTTTTTACTGAGATTTTGGTTGTGTTATTTTTGTTTATTTACCCAATTAGTTTTACTCAATTCTATAATGTTCAATAACAATGAGACTCATGTTGTTTCCTTACTTATTGATTGGTCAATAAAGTCAGTCTGCAGTGGTATTCTTATTACGTCTTGCTAAATGCTTCATATCATCCACTCAATTCGGCACTGAAAATCATATTTATTTTCCTATTTCAGGTCATGATGCTTCTATCCGAGTTTGGGATGTTGAAAGTCGTACGTGCATTCAAGAAATCACTAATCATGGTTTCAAGTATGATGAATCAGTTCACTCAGTAGCTTTACATCCTCAACTCCCTATGGCAGCGAGTGCTGGAGCAGATGCTGTCTGCAAGATTTATATGAACTCCACATGATCGATCTCTTTCAGTGACACTATGATTTTACCTAACTTTCAAAACTTGTTTTGCAAAACAAACAATGATTTAATCCATTATCACCATCATTGTTTTCGAAATACATCAGTTAGTTTTCCTAACGTTGTTTTAACCTCTCAATTTTGGCATTTGTTTCTGTCGAGTTTTTTTGTAGCTCTACTTGGTTAGATTATTCTTGCTTTATATATATATATAAACATACATAACGGTCTGGTAGATTCTTTATTGTCTTACCATCTAATTGTAAAACAAATAAAAAATATTTGATGGGTAAAAATTGTTATTTAGTCACAGTTAATATTCTAATTTCATAGTTTCTTGACTTCTTTCAACAGTTCCTCCTTTTTTGCTTATCGTACTGTACAGAAGGGTATACTGGGATGATATGTGTATGTACATATATCATTTTATTGATGTTATTCTCCTTTTCTCATTGTATTTTCCTACTGCCCTTTTTCCTCACTTCATTTGGTCAGTAATCATAATAATTGTACTTCATCATGAATTTCGTTTTTCCTTTACTGGAAAGGCTTATCCAAATGTTCATCAGTTGCTGTTCGCTTCAATTAAAAATAAGAAACAATTAGCTATGAAATGATTACGAATCAGCAAGTTATATATATATATATATATATATAAAAATCTGTTCGCCTGACCTTGACATTGCTCACACGGTGATGCCACCAAATGCAAGCAATCCTATTACGGCATCTGTGATCAGAGCTTATAGCTCCTTCATGTCTTCTACTTTAAACACTCATGTCTCCTAACTGTGCGAACGGGCTGGAGCACAGTACACTCGTCCTCGGGTAGATAGTCGGATACCCTGACAGCCGGCGACACAGGTGACGCAAATTGCTAACGCCACACAAGCTTTCTGTATCCGAACTGAGGTTTCGTCAGCAACCAACCCGTTCGGTCTGATGGAACTCGCCGAATAAGTGAAGTAGTCGACACTTTACCTCCATCCTTGGGAACGTTGCCTGGCAAACTGACAATGTCAGCTGCTCTACATCGTTTGAAGTGCGATACACCCATCTCAACTTCAAGGAGAGTTGGAGGATCGACACCTAAGTGTTATTCGGGTTCTGACTGGATATTTGGCAACTGAAGTGTTTCTGTGGGCCAGTTTAACCTTGTTCGAAGTGTTCTGCCCAACGTTCTAGACACCTGTAGTGAGAGGATATCTGGGACTTATCCCTTTCGGTGATGGTTTCACTAACCATCGTCTTGCCGATATCCTTAATAAACCGAAGTAGATTCCGGGTGTTACCCAAGGCTGATGCCCTCTCGCCACCCATCACTACTTGGGATCGACGTGAAGATTCAACTTACACCTAAGTTGCTTTCGCTTCTCACCATGGTCGGAGCCATCAGGAATCAGTCTTCTCACACCAGTCATTTTGGCTGACGTCATGGAAACCCAATGATGTTTTCTAACCTTCGAATGTAGGTGACCAACTGTCTTTAGCACTGTTTCTACGGCAGACTTAATATATCCACGCCAGGTTTTTTTAGGATGCGCATCTTTATCACGTTCAGAGAAATGCTTTCCTAAATTCGAACTTGACATTCTCATCTCCCAACCAAACGCAGATAGGTTTCACTATTGTTTGTTTCCTACCACCAGTAAGGCTGAAGCATGAGCCGTACTAGGGTGTGATCAAAGTCCAAATAGGAACTCATGAAAGAGCAGTAGTACTCCATTGATCTCAACCAACAATGGGTGGCTTATAGCAATGTGTTCCATCGTTGATTTGACGAATGCTATATGAGACAGTGTCTCTTCCTATGCCTAAAGAAACAAGTGATCGTCGGAGTAAAATTGCAACAGTTGATAACCGTTGTAGGTTTGTCATCATGGGATTCCGTAAATACTTCTTCGATTGGCTGAGATTCCCTATTTGAGCATTAAAGTCAGCTGCCGTTACGAGTACATTTGGATGTTTTGCTTTCTGTAGCCAGATTGACGAATAGAATTCATCCTTGGCTGTTTCTCCTAAAGGTACCTTAAAGAGAAAAATATTTGTTTGACCGTAGAGCCCATCGTACATCTGCTTTAAACCTTTCACGTGGCATTTTGTAGGATGTTTTGAGCTTTGATCGGATTGAGAGAACCCATACTGGCGGCACCGAAAGACCATAAGGCAGGGGGAGTGCGTTATTTTAGGGGCCAACCTTTTCTAACCCCTACCCACTGAGGAGGCAGCACCAGCTTGGCACTGCTGCGACACTTCATCTAGATAACAGCAGTGCGATTCGCTTTCAGACCCCCGTCACAGTGTAGTAACTTACACTACAACGGTAACTGCTTTTCATCCCACCACTCCAACGAACTCTCCTGGTATGGTAGGACCTTGAGGGAACAAGCGTTCTAGCCAGCGCAGCATGTTGGGTCATTGTAATATGCAAACCGGACCACCGCATCTAGAAGGCAACTGTCAGTCGGGGTGCTAGCCAGTTTTCGATAGCGTCGTAAATGTTCGTTGCTACCATATTATGTAGGCTCTGTAAAACATGTGAAAATCATCCGTAATTGGCACACCGGGTGTCGTCAAAATCTTGAATGCACTGACCACACGTTCTCAGTCTCCATCAGAGGCTAACGGTTATTGTGCTTGCTGATATGAAAATTGCTTTTGATTTGTTGGAATGCATTCACCTGTCATTGTATCCTTAACTAATAAGTGGTCTTAGGCAGGGTTCGGTTTCGTAATACCTTTTCGACTTTGCCATTGATGACGTTCTTGACACTGCTAGAGATACGGTGGTGTACACCTGCTATCGGTATGGAGACGGCATCCTTTTCCGTGTGCTTCAACATATAATCTGTTGATGTATCGCAAATCAGTTGCTTGAAAAGGTAGCAGACGTGGTTCAGAGGTGAGCAAACCAGCGGTGATGACGCTGTAACTTAATTCGTCTGTTATAGGTGAGGCGGAGAATACTTGGTTGACGCTATATTCTCTTAATGGTCCATTTCATCGTGGGTTAGCATCATGTGGAGAACCATTGTAAACCTTGAAGAACTGTACAGATCTTATGTCCCAGTTTGGAACTACTCAATAACGCGAGGAATGGCAATGTGCTCGGTGTGAGACGATAGGGTCCTACATTCTATCTCTTCAGTTCATTGATGCGTACTCCTAAGGAGTCTCGAACTTAAGACGAAACAACCTCCTAGTCCCCTTAGGTTTGTAGTGGCTCTTCAGCTGACATCAGTCCATTTTGAAAATTATTTTGTTTGTTTGTGTGCTAACATAGTCTTCTTGATGTAAAAATGGTGGTTGGAACCTCACTAGCCAAGTCACATAAATCTGACAACATTAGTGCTAGATGTCAAACCGGATTCTAAGTCAAGCTTAAGGAGAGATTTACTTGGAAATTTGGCAATCAGTGGTAGCAGTGCAATGGTAAGTAATTATGGGTCTAGCTGTCAGATATTGTGAAACACGAAAACTATTTTTACAGTTTAATAATAAATAGTACGGAACTGTATCCCTGAGTTATAATTGCATTCAAATATTCAACTGATATGCCAACAGAACAAGAAAGAATCGATTTTATTTCAACATACCAGCATGTCTGAGAAACGTTTTAGGAATGCGAATAAATTTACACCCGTGTTTTCGTGTAGCACATTATAAGAATCGATTTGTACAAATAGAGAGAGAACGATAGAGATCGAATGACAGAGTTAAGCATAGACTTTTGCATAAGAAACATATATTACAAATTCCTTCTCCACTGTGGTATCATCCTCCCAGGAGTCGCAGTTAAATCAAGGCCTTGGTTGATAATAATACTATCTTGTTTAGGTTGAGCTAAGCGCATTTCCCATCCTTTAGTCAATTGAATTAAACGTTCTGAATCACGTGTCACATGTACATTTGTCTGTATAATGGTTAGTAAAAAAAGAAAAGATATGTGTAAATGTTATTTTGAAAAAACCGAACACATTGCTTACTTCTTAAAAAACATCTCTTGCAAACTTATTGACCGTGGTACATGTCACCGTGAACGATGAACATCCTTAGTTTCTTAAGCACTATCTGATGATGAAATTATCTAACATGGTGGCGAGACGTCTGAGAATAAACACCAAAGCTTAGAAAAAACTGAATGATTATTACTGATAAGGAAAGTTTGAGTCCTGACTGACACACACAGGTGCACCGTCTGAAGTTGCCACACTTTACAGTAGTACACAAACAACGTATGTGTAGAAAAGGAGTGATATCAAAGTAGACAAAGTTCTGTTAAAGAATAAACAATTTGAAGATCAAGGTTAGTGTGAATACTCAAGCTTTATAATATGCTAAGGAGTGATGAATACATTTGTGCCACTGCGACTAATTTTCAGCCATCTCACCAAGAGTCCCCAACCACTAATTCCTTATGTCTCGGGATCCGAGCTGGACAGAAAGTCAACATTTCATTATCTACAAGTTTTGTTCATCTTGATGTTTACCGTGACCCTTGAGTTATGATTGAAGTCGAGTCATTTTGATTAAAATATATTAAAAATAGCTAGTGAATTTGAAACTGTATTGCTGATAAAATTGGCGTTTCTTCTGACTCTGAAGTCTCTCATCCGTGATTGCTGTTGACGCTTTTTTTCCAACAGAAATTGAAGTAAATATAATGATAAATTTCCGGAACTGTTGATTGTGACAGATTTCTTGCAGATAACCCACTGTCACTAACAACTTATGTTTCAGTTACCTCAAAAAAGAACTAACGTTCCACGGTGTGGACAGCTGAGAAGTATCAACTGCTCGCACCATTCTGTCAGCATTCAATTTTCTTCTAATCATTATCAACCTCCAACATCTTCAGCCTCTAATCATTGTTCTCGCCTCTCGGTCATTATTCCCTCGTCATCTTTAATTTGTTCCAGCTTTACAGCTCTCAACAACGATTCGAGTTCAGGGGACAGCATTTTTGGTCTCCTGGAATCGCGCTCCAAACTACAGATAGCAGTCTTCAGTGTTCCGAATCTCCGTCAAATCGGTCAACAAGTTTCGCCATCCAGAACTTCTAGTATCTCTGGTCTTTGGTGTGTGTTGTCTTTGTGAGACATGCATGTAGGACCCAAGTACGGTTATTCACTTAACCTCACCTGCCCACCATTAGTTCGACATTCGACTCCGTCGATTGAGAAGTCATGGCAGTGTCTCTCACTGAAAAAGGTGTTGAGTGAGTGCATCACTCTGTGGAAGGCTCTGCACTCGAACACCTATGGGTGTGTTAACAGGTGAGTTATGTGCATCGAGCGGTGTCCGTCAAGGGTGTCCACTGTCTCCATTCTTATTCAATTTTATAATACACGTGCTTACGCAGGTCTTCTCGTCGTCTGACTTTACATGGAACGATCTATCACGGGAGACTTCTTAGTAAATCTAGAGTACTCCGAAGACATGTCCATGTTAGTTGAAGATGCAGAGTTTTCTGGACACCTTGAATGGGGATTTTGGAATGTTGGGGTGCACTCCTCACCACCCGAATGCGAATTGTTTCACTGGGACTGGTCTATTGTCTAAATAGGGAGTGAAGTAGTTGAATGCATTGACCACTCGGCTTACCTAGGAGAGGGAGGTCAGTTGATGAAGTGATGAATGTTCGTCGACTGAGATGACTGGGGAATTTGTTACGCATGCCTAGTCAATCGCCGTCTGCCTCATCGTATAATGTTGGCTGAAGTAGGTTTAGTCTGGAAAAAGAGTTAAAGGTGGCTAGCGTAAAATATTACATGAGTCCATGAAGTCGTCTTTGACCGTTGCTCTGAGCCGTGTAAGGAAATGTAGACTTGGTGGTTGGGGTCGGCATGATGATAGAATCCAGTAGTTGGAGATTCCAGTTGATGTTACAGCTCAGGATTGATCTCAGCAGCGCGGGTGTATCCACATATTATTTTTATTTTGAATTTCAGTATTCTCTCGTTCGTGCTGTACTCTCCTTTCGGCAATTCCCCACCACTTTTCGCTGCTTCCTGCCTTATTATTTCATCTCAGTGCTTTCTCGGTTGGTGTGGTGTTTTGAGTTGTGCCAACTTCAACCGCTATGCAGTGATGTCAGGTACCTGGGTGATATGATCTATCTGTTTTCTTTTTCTGCTACGCGTATTTTGGAATCCTTGTTCATCGTGATAGACAGTTAGATATGAAGTTATTAGTCTTTGGTTAAGACCACTCGGTATTTGTCCAGGGTGTTTAGTATTTTGAACCTTTATGCAAGAATATCAGGTGCTACAGTGATTTTGTGTGATTGTGAAGTGGTGAATGCGTTTCAGTTGTTATTGTTTTGGATTTTGTGCTGAGATTTCGGTTGTCTACTAGCTTCAAATAATGTTTGAGTCATAACACAGTCATGTATTGCAAAATTCGTAGTTTTCGGCGCTTTTTTTCGTCGACTTTTCTAGATAAGTGTAATTATTACTTTAGGATGCTTGTAATTTCAGATGGAAAACTATTTGAATGTTATACTCTGAAATTACTGGTGTTTTTTTACGGCATAATGCTCTACATTCAAGCATCGGTATTTAAATCGTCAAGTTAGATAAAACATGTCTCCTGGTTTTCTCTGTTAGTTATTAGAAACTGACGAATAAGCTCACGCATCGATACGAAGAGCCCATATTTCAGTTTAGGTTGATCATTTAGATGGGAAAATGATCGGTAATGGGATCCAGGAATTTCTTTTCGTCCTTTTGTGGACTTGCTAGCTAGATCTCTCCCACGGTGTAGTGTGCCAACTGAGATTTAAAACCAGCACCAATCACGTGAAATGCTTGAAAATTATTAACTAGGCTACTGAATTAAAATGAACTCTTACTTATTGGGTATTGGTATCATTAGTACTATGAACTTTTTATTGCCTATTTCTGATTGATTTTAATTGAACAACCCCTATGTCGTATAGTTGTGTCGACCAACCAGAATTTTGCTTTAATTAGCGATGGGATGAAATTTACCTTGTCTTACCTGTACTGGAATTCGTCCCAATAATTCTTGTCGACTGATTTCTGTCTCAGCTTTAGCTTTTTTACGCGCAGACAATTGATTTAATTGATTAATAGTCTAAAATATCCAAATAATTAGCAAAAGTATTTGTTAGTGATGAAGAGCAGAATGCTAATTTTCTATCAGAACGGAATAAAATGTCTATCTATTAATGAAAGGTTGGAAATATCACTTTAGAAAGCACACTGCTATATCATCTTTCTCACAGTCATAATTATTCTCCCCTGATGAAAAAATAAAAGTATATCCCTTGTCCTACAGAAAATCATCTGAGATAACTTTCTCTAGACTGTTTCGTTGGTTATTGAAACTTCTCAGTACTTCGCACCTATTAACACTTTAGAAGATCTGAAGCTGGAAACTTGAGGTTTTTTAGATGGAGCAAGTTGTTAATTTTCAATCGAATTCTGTTTCTAACGAAGCAATACAATATGTCTACTGGACGAAGTAGGTGCTTCATTCATGAAGATGTTTGTCTGTGATATCAAGAAACCTTATAATATTTCATAGTTTGAGACATGATTTCATACACTTTTTTATTGAACTGTATCACTAGGTAAATTACTTAGCTTCATCATAATGCCTTGGTAGATAGACGTAGATTTGCAGTCTGTTGGGTACCTCTTATCATGTGTCTTGGGCGAAAAGATTCACCATTATGAGTGTAGTCGCCAAGTGATTCTCTGATATCTATCAACTGATTAGAAGACGCCTAAATACTACCGAATACCGAAGATAATAGTTTTGAAATGCGTATACTTAAAGATTATTGAAAAGCACTGCATTCTTAGATACACCGTCAACGTTCAGTTTAAATTCAAAGATCAAATGTATAGACGAACAGATGGCATGCCAATGGGGTCATTATTGAACCCTATTCTTGCTGTTTGCTTTATAGCAAACATAGGGAAGACTATTTTGAATCCAAAGACGTATAGGTTTCACATATAAGAAAAATATAGACGATGTATTTACCACATGTGACGAAAAAAATGATAGTGAGGCCATAGTTGAGGAGTTAAATTAATATCACCAATCATCCAACTTCACTTCAGAATCTGAGAATGACTTGAATAATTTGAAAGGTAAACAACATATAGAGCGAATGCACATGTTTCCGAATAATTTATGTGAATGTTGATTTTTGGGAGTAATACTGCAGCTGAAATTCTAGATAAGAACATTCTTTGCTGCCGAATTACACATCACATTTTCCAGTTGTAAAATAATTCCTCAGCGTATATTGATTATTCAGTAGAGAGCAACCAATTTCATGCTGTCTAGTTGTGGGTGTTGACAGAAATTTAGCGATCATTTCGCTCACGTCTGGGTGAAGCTAGTTCGAATCTTAGAGGAGACAACAGTTTCTTCGAGTTTGCAGATACGCCTAGCTAAAGAGTGCCAACAAGCGTAAAGCCTAGGTTAAAACTACCTACCAATTGCCTCAAACCAGATAAATTTCTTGAGTGTGCTAAGGATATGCTACCACCTTGATCCACCATATTGTGAGTTTACAAGTTCACTTGTTTCTGTAGAACTAGTTATATTGGCCGCATATCGCATGCACTTTTAAAACGCATATCTGAATATTGCTCAGAGGAGAATGTAAGTCAACTACAAGTTCGGTTTTTAACCTCCGAGGTCCGCCTCAGTCTGTCTTTGAGAGAAAAATTGAAACAAAGGATTCAAAAACTGTACGAGTTCACATCTCGTTCATGGTGAAGGCACTGACCATTTATGAACTCAGTCTGGCTAACATAGTTTGAAGTAACTGCATTGAATTCATTAGAGCTGTTAATGTGGGGAATGATTTGCTGACACTTTGAAAAAGAGTATTTGATGAATTGTTTCCTCCCCGCTTCAGAAAAACATTTCACACAGATTTAGATGTCGAATTCTAATGTTGTAAGGCACTGATTTTACAAAAATACTTTAAGATCATGGCAACCAGTTGTGTCCATTTAAGCATCAGCATGACTTTTTTAACATTGAAATGGTTACACAGATTTGCCAACTTCAATGAACCGAATTCACTTAGGCTTCGGTAACTGCCTGAACAATTAACATACTCACCAGCAAACGTCCTATAAGATCTTCCACTTATGAATTTCTCACGACCGACCTTGCCGGCTTTCTGGAGCTCTTTAGTCATTTGTCTGCTTTTCAGGCTAGTACTCTGTAAATTCCATGGAGATTGTTGACATATCCTCTAAAGCATGCATTAACTTATTCAAGCAGGTAGTGCTGTCATAATCCTTTGATTCTGCAGGCTAGCAAATCTCAGTTTTGTAAATGATAACCAGATATCTTGTATCCTGTTTGAGCGAAGGTAGTTAGAAGTAGTTGACCTGACTGACAAGGTACTCCGTTTGGAGATGAATTGCCATAGTCAACACCACAGTTTATCACCCTGATGATGTGCTTCTGACTCCCTGATGCACAGTGAGCGACCTATGGATTTAGGATTTTCCAGTTTCCTGATGGTTAGTGAATGTGATGTCTATAGTTGATCTGGTTGCAAACAATCCTGGTATCTATTTTCTCGCGTGGAAATAAATTGTCTTTAACATAAGAATCCATCATAATGCAAAGCAACTATTTCATTTGGTGTATGTGCACGGGCTTTAAGCCCTTTTCAGTATCTGTGTAGTTGTTGACGTAGGTGCTTCGGCTTGTACTGGTACTCCTTAAGAACTATTCTTGAATATTTATTATGAGACATAGTTTTAGAAAGGTCGCACCAAACATGTTTCATCATCTTTCGAATTCTCTGCAAGTACTTCATAGTTCCCATCAATATGACCTGATATAATGTCCGTATCATTTATTACCTCCAGATGGGTGATAGAGGAGTTGCTATCACCCTCATCCATCAATATAACGTAGTCCATATAATCAGGCTGCTTGGTAGAATTTTCAGACTCATCATCTCCATCACTGAAGCATTTACTGTCTTTTTCAAAATTTGAGGACTTATGGGTGTAGCTACATCCGGAATTTGACTAAGCTTCTCAGTAGTCTTCAGTGTTGCTACTTCCATCCTTTCTTTATAGTGTTGTAAAAATGCTTCAAATTTTTCAGTAGAAAGATTTGCCATCTTTTTATTCGTCACCACTTTTTAAAACCCCTTAGTGGGACTTTTCGATATAACCTCAGTTATACATAAATGGACGCTTGGACAATAACCTTCACTGATCTACCTTTCATTCTCTCTGCGAAATCATCTCTGTTTGAAAGCCAAAGTAAAAGTCACTGGTTACTTTTAACAATGGTATACTCATTTTTACTCTCCATGCTTATCCAGTATCGATGCACGAACTTCATTGAATAATCTTTATTGCTTAGACATTGTTCGATTAGCCGGAGTTCTCCCAGCAGTTTTGAACAGCCCAATAGGTCAGCCCTATGATATAACTTCCTCACAAGACCTCTCTTATAACTGATTAGGCAGTAACCGTTAAAGTTTAAGTAATGACAGCTTCATGTAATTTCGTGATGGATGCTGCTATCTATTTTGTTCTTTTCTCCAACTGACTATCATGCGAATTAGACACCTAGTTTATGCATAACTCATTGAAACAGACATGTTTTTTTACAATCATGATATGAATGAAGCAGAAATAAACTGAAAGATTAACTACCTGATTTCTCATTGCATCATCTTAGTCATCTCAATTGATCGCAAGCATATATGTAGACCTGATAAGATTACCTTCAACCTTCTTTATTTCTACCTTATAAAAGCCAAGTCTAATATATAGTGTTATCCTAGTTAGCAGAAAAATGCGACTGACGTTTTCATTTATTTTGAAAGCTTACGATTTGAAACAGCAATCAAGCAGATAATGCCCCTGCCCACCCCAAGCCGAATCATCCTGGAGAGACTAAAAAATGCTATGGATTCGAAATTGCGACGAGAACAGACCGGCTGGTTTCAGGAAGAACAAATCATGTGCGGATCAAATTACAACGCTACGCTACGCATCATCATAGAACAGAGAAAAGAATGGCAGTCAACTCAACTTCATCGAATTTGAAAAGGCCATCAACAGAGTCGTCTGAAACGTCAACACTACTGAGTCTCACAAAACCTTTTGAAATTCATCCAATAGCTATATGCTACATAATACTACATGCCAAGTGATTCACAGTGGAAAGCTAAGTGATGCCTTTAAAATGAAGACAGGAGTAAGACAAGGCTGTCTACTATCACTAAGGTCCTTCATGATAATGGTCGACTGGACTGGACTGGATCACGCGAAAAACTGTGAGGAGCGAGTAGACAGGCATACGCTGGACAAATGAAAAGACCCTAGAAGATTTGGATTTCGCTGATGATGATATATGTCCAGTGTCGCACAAACTAGTAGATCTACACCAAAAATTAACCAGTTGCTAGAATAGGCAGAGGAGACTGGAATTCAGGTAAACCTAAACAAAAAACACCAATCACCATCAACGGGACACATGTCAAGGAAGTCGTTTCGTTCACTCAACAAGGCAGCAATCTCTCAACAACAGGTGGCAGAGATGAGGACATAAAAGTCAGCAACGGGAAAGCTTGGTTTCTTATAGATCCCTTGGGTTTCTAGTGGAACATGGAACATAGGGCTTCAGTAGCACGTCACCATTCCACTCTGTTCTCTGCAATCCTTTCAACCTGGCTCCACAACTGCCAACAAGCTTTCATTTCTTCCTCAACCGATCTCCTTCATGTCACAGTCGACTCGGACGCTCAACTCGTCGTTTCTCCCCTTAGATTCCACACGATGGCCTGCAGCGTGATGTCTCCGAATAGTTTTCTCAGTGCATGTCCAGTCCAGTCCATCTCCACTTTCTTCTGCATATTTGTTGAGCGATAGGTTCTTGGTTGGTTCGTTGCCAGCCAGCCAGCCTGCCAGAGTTTCATGCTGCTTATTTTTTCTGGTCACCTGATCTTCAGCATCGAGTGAACGCAGCCGGCAGCTGTTTACCTGACGTATATGTGTAGCTTGTTGGAAACGCTTTTCGTAACACGCCAAATTAAATTCGCCGGGTCAAATAGTTCACTAGATACT